GTATATAATAGAGAGGTACACAAAACACACACAACAGAGAGATATGCGAATAGAGAGAGATGAGAGGGAGAGAGAGATAGATATGAGAGAGAGAGAGAGACACAAAAAACATAGATAGAGAAGTAAGATAGAAGGTAGAGATAGAGAGAATAGATGAGAGAGGGACCACATCAACATAGTATAGTATATAGATATATAGATGTCGATAATATATACTCTATATTAGATATTAGAAGATTCGAGAGAAGAATATATATCAGAATAAGATAGATCGATAGCTAGTAGACAGACATACACAAACATAGTATATAGATAGAGGGGTAGAAGATAGAGATAAAGATTATATATTATGATATATATATATATGTAGAGAGAGATAGAAGAGAGAGAGAGAGAAGGAGAGAGAGATAGAGGACAGACACATACAGACAGTAAGAACAGACAGACAGACAGAGACGACAGAGACAGACAGAGAGAGTGACCATAGATATGAGAGAGACATATAAGATAGTGAACCTAGAGATATATAGACAGAGTAGAGATAGAGACAGATATAGAGAAGTACTAAGAGAGAGAGAGACAGATAGAGAGAGATACATGAGATAGAAGAGATAGGATAGACATAGAGAGAATCTCACATATAAGATATATAGACATATATAACAAGATATTATATACAGAGAGATAGATAGACAGTATGATATAGATAGAGAGAGAGAGATTAGATGAGATAATATATAACAGAGAGATCTGATATACTGATCGGTATAGAGAGAGATATAGATACTAACTAAGAGATAGATATACAGAGATAGACAGATATAGAGAGATTAGAGTAGAGAGAGAGATGAGTATACATAGATAGACAGAGAGAGAACAGATAGAGACAGAGAGATATATCAGGAGACGAGAGAGAGATATACCTATGAGATATATAAAGATATCTGATCGAACATATATTATAGAAAGAGAAATATAAAAGAGAGGAGAGGAGAGAGATCTAGAGAGAATGTCGATATCGATAGGAGTATATAGATACACACACACACACACACACATCACACAACACACACACACACACACACACACAAACATAGAAAGATATAGATAATATATAGATGAGTGAGAGAACAACGTAACATAGTGAGTTATAGATAGAGAGACTATAGAGATAGGTATAGATA